TACTCAATTCCTTAATTAATTTCGTGGTCAAATATCATTTTTACTAAACTCTAGGTTTTTCAACATAATCCCATAATTTCTACAATTTCTATGTTAAAATCTACCCATAATCTATGTATCAAACTCACATTAGGTAGAAATCACTTATCTCAAAATGCTAGATGAAAATCTCTTTCCAAGAGGCTCCAATTTCGGCCAAGAGAAGTCATAAATGAAAAAAATAGCCTAAGTCCCGACTTTTAAAATGTTACTGCCTAGTGATTCCTTATTCGCAATCGCGAAAGAAGACTCGCGATCGCAAAGGCAGAGCTACCCATCTCCCCAAAAGTCTTATTTGCGAACGCACTCAGGTCATCACGATCACGATCACGAAGGCTAGCCTGGCAAATGAATCGCGAATGTGGCCAGCCCTTCGTGAACACAAAGGGCAACGTCCTACTGACCCCCCACATACCCAGTTTCTCCTATGCGAACGCGAGCCTTCAATCGCGAACACAAAAGTCACTGATCCTAAGACTTCGCGAACATGACCCCATGATCGCGAACGCGAAGAAAATAAATGCCTCAACCCCTAATCCTTAACCGCGAATGCGAGGCAACCACCGCATTTGCGAAAAAGGAAACCAGTACCAGCAAAATCTGCCAGTTTGGACTTAGCTCAGAGTGGTCCGAAACATATCCGAGCCACCTAGAACCCCGTCCAAATACACCAGGAAGTTCAAAAATATTATACGGACATACTCGAAGTCTTGGAATATATTAAACAACATCTAAGCCAAGAATCACACTTCAAAATAAAACTATTCAATTTTTGAACTTCAAACTTCTTCCAACTAGCTCTAAATGCGACGAATTATGCTTAGACAACTCGGAATGACTCTAAATTTTACACACAAGTCATAAATCATGATACGAATCTATTCCAAGGCTCGGAATCCCTAACAAACATTGATAACACCAAAGTCTAATTTAAACCAAACTTAGAAAATTCTAAAACTTTCAAGACGCCAACTTTCAACAATATGCTTTGAAACGCTCCTGCATCACACGAAACTCGATCCGAATACACGCCCAAGTCCAAGATCATCATACGAATTTATTGTAACCTTAAAATTCTGGTTCTGAGGTTGTTTACTCCTAGTCTTGACTCAAGTCAAACTTGGCCACCTTAGGCGACTATTAAGAAACTAAGTGTTCTGAATTTAACCTGAACTCCTCTAAAATCAAACCAATTATCCCCGCAAGTCATAAAATAGTAAAAATACATACGGAAAGTCATAAACAGGGAAAGGGGGATCAAGAAAGTAAAACGACCAGTCGAGTAGTTACAATTAGTTGACTTTACGAACAACTCAAAATTGGCACTCACAATATTTGGTTACCTATTTGGAAAGTAATTGTCACATTTCAAATTTGTTTTTAAGTGACGATATTTCATGATCTGGAGTCCCTATCTATGCCGTCTTAGTTTACGTTCAATTAAGCAATAAAATCAATTTCTTACTATTTTCTCAAGATATGCAAAATTTTCAGATTCCCTAATTTCCTATTATGGTAATATGAACTTTGAATATTAGATTTGGTAAGAACATTATGCAATCAATCTATTTAAAGGGCTTTCTCCTCTTGTAAGAAGAAAGCCATATAGCAAACTAAAAAAACTCTGCTTTATTCTTAATTTGCTCTAGTTTCTAACAAATGGATTCAAGGGAACGCGGTTCTAGTTCTAAACAAGAACTTATCAAGTGAGTTGTTTTTCCATTTTGTTCTTCTTTTTCATTATTTCTTGTAATTTATTTTACTTTCACGACTCAAAATCTAACTAGTCGTGATGGCTCCTAACCCAATCTGTTCGGTAAGCAAGTTTAACAATAATCCAACTTCAAATGAGATTTACTGAGAAAATATTGATGAAATAATTGAACTTTTATATAACTTCCCAAGGACTGACAGTAAAAATCATGAGCTTCTAAGATTTAGAGTTTACAAAGTTGGTATGAAATAAATACATCATCTGTTCGAAATATACATAAACAGATTAATAAATCTAAATCTACTAAGAATAAGAGGTAGCTATAACCGGAATGCAGGTACATCTTCAATGTCAGCTCCCGCCACACACACCAACATCAGCTCCAAAATCTGCAGGCAAGGTGTAGAAGTGTAGTATGAGTACATCTGATCCCATGTACTCTATAAATAACAATCCTAACCTTAGGTTGAAAGCAGTGAGGAGCTTGAACAACGGTCAGGGTCCAACACCAATAGCTAAGAACAACTCATAATAATATAATAAAAGTAGTACAAGAAACAACTCAAAGATATGATGCTCAACTCGTTCACAGTTACGGAAAAATAAACATGCTTTAAAGTATAACAGTGAAACTGAAATCTTTCATCGAAATTACCAAAATATGAGTAAATCAGAAGATTGTGATTTTTTCCCAAAAACCTTCGACCACAGATAATATATTTCATTCTCGGATGGCCTGAGGAAAGTACATCTCTATGCCTATATGTCAATGTGCATGTGAAATTATGAATGTCACAAAACTGTGTAGCATGAGGAAATGCATATCTATGCATGTATGTCAAGTATGCATGTCGAATGCAATGCATCACAGTGATGAGCTCATGTACTCACACTCTCAGAGTACTTAATCTCATTGTCTCACACTCCCACTTATCATGCTTATTCACTCAGCATTGTACGGTACCTGCGCTCAATGCTGGTACGTCAGACTCTGGAGGGAAGGATCCTATCCCAGCACTAATAAAACATGTTGCGGGCCGCAACTCGATCCCATCAAGAATCAATACCTGTTGTGGCATGCAACCCGATACCACCATGAATCAATAAAACTTGCTGCGGCGTACAACCCGATCCCATCAATATCACTCACAATTAGGCCCTCGGCCTCACTCAAACATCAATCTCTCTAGTCTCTTAGCTCACAAGACTCGTTCCAATTGGCCCAAAATAATGATACATGATGTAACAATATATGATGACAGAGACTGAGATATGATATGCAAATGATGAATGCGACTGAGTATATAACTGCAATTTAAGCAAATAACTCAAACAACAAAAATGACCTATGTGGTGTCCCAACAGTATCAACATATAGCCTAAACATGATTTCTAATATGAATCACAGCTCAATTTCTCTAACACATGGAGAATACATGAATAATAACAAGATTAGATAACTACACAATTCCACAAAATCCACCAAGTCATAATTACTACGGTACACATACACACGCCCGTCACCTAGCATGTGCGTCACCTCAACACCAACCACATAACACGTATTTTAGGAATTTATACCCTCATCACCAAGTTTAGAAGTGTTACTTACCTCGAACAAGATGAATCCAATACTGAGCAAGCTAGATAATACTCTAGAAAGTCCATCTCGCGCGTATCAACCTACGAACGACTCAAAACTATCCAAAAGCAACTCAAAAACATCAAATAATGCCTAAGGAAATAATTTTAAATGATAAAGGTCGAGTCTTTACAAATTTACTCAAAGTCAACCAAAATGTCAAACCCTGGCCCGCACCTCAGAATCCGAAAAACTTACAAAATCTGATAATTCATTCAATTATGAGTCCAACCATACTAATTTCACTCAAATCTGACTCTGAATCGATTTTCAAAACTCAAAAATTTACTTTAGGCAAGTTTAGATAAAAACCCCTAATTTCTCTTTTGAAATCATCAATTAAATGCCAAAAATGAAGATGGAATCACGGAATATAATCAAACCCTAGTATAAAACACTTACCCCAATTTATGTGGTGAAAATCGCCTCAATCCGAGCTCCATAGCTCAAAAAATACCAAACTCAAAATCCCGAAATTTGATGTTTTAATGCACTCTCAGGGGTCCCTCTTCGCGATCGCGGTCCGCAACATCGCGATAGCGATTCAAAAAACATTCCAGCTCAATTTTTACCTTCATCCAACAAGCTTGCCCAACTCTTCGAGATATCCTCTAGTATAATGGCCATAGAGTTTTTTACAAAACTTCAAATGACAAACAATTTGATTTTCTGAAAACTAGACACCAAAAGCTACAACTTTCATTTTTGAATCATCTCCAAATTCCTTATAGATTGAACGATGTAAGCTTCCAAAATCGGCTTAGTGATAGCATAATTTCTTTTTCGCGAACGCGATTCATAGGCCCTTTTTCCCATTTTGCTCTTCGCGAACGTGACCCAAAGTCCGCGATCACGATGCACACTACTGTAGCCACAAATTAGCAACTAAAATAGGCCTAGAAATGGTCTGAAACCTCCCTGAAACTCACCTGAACCCCTCGGGACCCGTCCGAACAAGCCAACAAGTCTCAAAACATATTACTGACTTACTCGGGGCCTCAAATCACACATATTAACATCAAAATCACGAATTGTCGATCAAGGTAAATCTCTTATGTTCACAAACTTCTAACTTCGAACAAAGCGTCCGATTCAAGCCTAACCAATCCGGAATAAATTCAAATTTTTCATACAAGTTTCAAATGACATAACGAATCTATTCCAACTCCCGGAACAACAATTCGAATCCGATATCATCAAAGTCAACTCTCGGTCAAACTTATGAACATTCCAAACTTTTAAATTTCCAACTTTTGCCAAATAGTGTCGAAACCTTCTAGAAACACCCAAATACAAATTCGAGCATACGCTAAAGTCCAAAATTACCATTCGGACCTAACGGAACTATCAAAACTCCGTTCCGGGGTCAAATACCCAAAAGTCAAACTTGATAAACTCTTCCAATTAAAATCTTCAACAATGAAATTCATTCTTTTAAACTAATTCCGAATCACCCAAAAACTGAAACCGATGATACACATAAGTCGTAATACATCATACGGAGCTACTCATGTCCTAAACCATCGAGCGAAGTGCAAATGTTCGAAACGACCGATCGGGTCATTACATTTACAGTCTACAAGAAGTTGATATGCTCTTAGCGAAATGAAAAAATTAAATGAGGTACTTAAGCTCGAAAATGACGAACAAAAGAAGCTCCTTGAGAAACTGCTCAAGGAGATTGCCCAATTGAAAACAAAGGTAAGCTTTTATCTCATCTATATTCAATTTTAAAATGCTACGTAGATAACTTTATCTTTTTTTCTTTTGCAGCATGAAAAGCTGTAGTCAAGTTTTGGCCCTAGAAACATCGACTGAGATTCCATATATAGAGTGAAAAATATTCCTAAGATAAACTTGTTGTAGCTCTCTCTTTCTAGATGAGAATTTTCTCTTATAAGTTACCTAATTATCTTCAAATTCTAGTGCTATCGTGTTTCTCGTAATCCTACCTCTGTTGAAATCTATTATAGTTTTTTCATTAAATCAGTCTGCACCTATATAAACGTGTGAAAAAAATATGTTTGGAATTCATGGTAGGATTTAATAAACCGAAAGAAACAAATATGTTCATACTAATTTTACTACTAAAAAAAGGAATGACAAATTAAAAAGAAACAATTACGGGAAAGTATTAAGAAGATCATTGTTAGAAATTGATTTGAAAGTGATATTAGGTTTATCATTACAGAGTTTAACATTCTTGGGTGAATTAAATTTTGCAGCTTGTGCCTCTGCTATTGTATTACTGTTACATA